GTCTCAGATAAATCCATCCCATTCTCAGGGTGTGTGATACAATTATACTTTTATGGCACATTTGCTGCAATTGAATGTTACCTTCTGGCTGCCATGGCTGTAGATCGTTATGTGGCCATCTGTAACCCACTCCGTTATCCAACAGTCATGTCCCAGAGGGTCTGCATCCAGCTGGTCATTGGGTCCTATGTTGTGAGTTCCCTGAATGCCACCACACACACAGGATTTCTCTTTTCACTGTCCTTCTGCAATTCCAATACCATCAATCACTTCTTTTGTGATTTGCCCCCAATCCTGGCCCTTTCCTGTTCTAATATTGATGTCAATGTCAAGTTGATAATCATTTTGGTGGGCTTTAATCTGTTAGGCACATTGCTGGTAGTGTTCTTCTCCTATGTTTACATCTTGGCTGCCATCTTGAGGATGCCCTCTGCTGCAGGGAGGCACAAAGCTTTCTCTACTTGTGCCTCCCACATGACTGCTGTCACCATTTTCTATGGGACCCTCTCTTACATGTATTTACAACCTTCTTCCAGCAAGTCACAAGAGAATGATAAAGTGGCTTCTGTGTTTTATGGTATTGTGATACCCATGCTCAACCCCCTGATCTACAGTCTGAGAAACAAGGAGGTAAAGGAGGCCATGAAAGTTCTAGTAAAAAGTTGCTTGTGAGTCAGGCCTTGCATTCCAATGTAGTAGTTCTCTAACAGCTAGATATTGGGTCAGTTCATAGAGCAGCCCATCTGATTGCTTCAATATGTCAACAAGAGATCAACTACATATGACAAACTAGGTTTAGAAACATTATCTCCTCCTTGGGTGTATCTGGAAATATTCTGCAGTCTACTTGAACCCAGTATGGATATCTCCACTGCCCTTTGAGTCAGCCATCCCTCTCATTCTTCAGTAATTTTGGTGTTCCAAGATTTGTGATCACTCATTACTCTTAAGAGAATGTTTGCATTGAGAAGAAAAATCTTTGCACTGAGAGGCAATTTGAGATCATTAAAAGCACTAGACAATTTCTCAAATGCTGTGTAGGAAATAAAATAAGTCCTCCACATTGAGAAGTTATAGGCCGCATCAGCACACGTGCCTGCTAAATGACCTCTGTTGGTCATAGCCCATAAAGTGGCTGGAAGAGAAAAACAACTTATAAAAAACATTGTTATGCTCCAGATATGTTCCCACGATGATAGGCTCCTGGCCAACATTTGCTTGAAAATAAAACTCTACCTAGACTTCTTTGTCTAAATTCACTATAAACATGAGAGGTTCCCTTTGTACCTTTTGAAATCTTACCAAGGCATGGATGCGTCACCAGGGACTTTCCAATCGGGACTCTGGGTGGCTGAAACAGGACTTCCCAGAAGACTGACCCAGATGTAGGCGCTTCTCCGATTTGGTGATGTATATAAACTTTCATCCATACTTATAAGCAATAAACTATAATCTTTATTCTATAATCCTTATTTGTTGTGTAAGTGTGTATTATTAGAAGTGTGATCCGAACCGAAAGCAAATTCAGTCACAGCACATTGAATTAGCAATAAAAATGCATACATATCATATTATTCCTCCCATTCAATTTTGGGCTCATTTGACTGTTTAGGTATGATACTTATGTTTGTAATTTGTGTTGATGTGCTAATTCATGGACTTCCAATACAACTATATATCATTGTGTGAACTATAAATATTTATTTCATCCATTTGGTTGTTCCTGTATGAATTGCTAAGGTGATCTCTTTCGAGCAATCAATTTTAGTAAGTAGGTTTGGTGTAGTTTGATTGAATTATTTCAGTGATGTCCAACTCTTCATGACCCCATTTGGGCTCTCCTTGACAAGGGTCCTAGTCCTTCTCCAGCCTATTTTACAGATGATGAACTGAAATGAAGACAGGGTTAATGCCTAGGGTCACACAGTAAGTTTCTGAGGCTAGACTGGAACTCAGGAAGAGTCTTTCTGATTCGAAGTCCAGTGTTCTATCCACTGAGCCATAGCACAGCCTTACATGTAAACTGGACCAACCAGAAGACCTTGTAATTTACAGGGAATCTATTTTTCATCTAAATAGCATACAAGATATCCTCAGTGACAATGATGGACACCTTGGCAAACATTTTTCTCATATTTTACACCTAATTTTTTATTTTAATAACTAAATGATGATTCAGCAAAGTTACCTCTGTGATTGCGTTATCTAAGAATCTTTCATGATCTTTCCCTTTTTATAGATGACAAGTTGGTGGCACATACTTCCCCTTGAATATCTTACAGATATGAATAATTGTGTATGTGGGTAATCCATTATTGATGCCCTTTTAATTCCCTTTTGCAGTAATAATACTATCTGTCATTTATTGCAGTCATTCAATATCTTCCTCTCTGGAAGATATCTTGAAAACTGATCCCTGAGTGCCTTAAAAATTGGGTTTCCACCATCCTGGAATTCTCCAAGTCCAGGTGGTCGTCCCAACTTCAAACTCCAAGTGTCATTCTCCCTCATACAAATAGCACAACATGTACTACGGTGTTAGTATTCAAATGTCATAATCAAAGGTGATCACTTTGGGATGTTGGCAGATCTAGTCCATTTCCACCTTTGTTACAGAATCACAATCTGACTTTCAGCTCCCCTATACCCCTGAACCTACTTTTTTGTGATTACCTAAACTTAACTGCCAAATCCAATGACTTTTTTGCAAGCTTCATTATCTCTGACCTCTCCCCACATACACACTGTTATTCATCCCCTCTTAGAAATTCCTTTTTTCTTTTTGTTTTTGCTTTGGTGTCGATTTTTCTCCCAGATACTCCCATTGTGCATTTAACTGGGGTGTTTTTTTTTTCTTTGAGATCTGATCATCCAATTCCTCCTCCTAAACTTTGAGTGTTCCAAATCTCCATCCTGAGCACTTTTTTTTCAAATGAGTTAACATACCCTGCCCCTCTCAACCCTATCTTCCTTCAGGACTCAGATCAAATGACATTTTCCTCCATGAAACTTTCCTTGACCCTCTACAGCTGTTATTATTTATCTCTAACTTCTCCAAGTACTTTGCATTTATTTGTGTGTCTCTATATTATACCTTCCAGAAGGTTAGAAGCCCACTATGGCAAGGATGCTTTCACTGTTGACTTTGTGTCCCCTGTGCCTAACACAGTAGATTGCACATAGTAGGGGTTTGATAAATGTATGTTGAATATGAAGCACTGCTAAGGACACAGAGGTCACATCCATTAATAGATTGAGGGCTGTTGAAAACATCAGAAACTGACCCACTTCAGTTGGGAGAAGTCTGCACCAAAGATCTAAAAATGTCTGATTCAACCTTGGGTTTTGCCAGAAGTTTTAAATCATCTGTCATAATTCCTCATGTTTTCTTCAAAGTCAGTTCCTTGAAACTTGCTGAGTGTATCAGCTTCCATTAAGTAACTCAACCATAAGCAAATTTAGAAAGCAAAAAGTATTAGGTGAGTGACCAACAGAACATGTGCTGTTTGTGTTCTTCTGACATCATCCAATAGTATTTATGCATCCATAAGGGAAAAGTTGGTCTCTTCCTAGGAGAAAGGAAAAGAGGTTGGTGCAATTCACCTATATTCTCTAGTTTATTAAGAATTAACTTTGTCTTAAAAGAATGTAGAAAGAGGCACAGTATGCTACAGCGGAGAAACTGTTGATTTTTTTTAACAGAGGACATGGGTTGAAATCCTGGCTCTGCTACTTATGACCTGTGTGACTTTAGACAACTCCAGGCCTCAGTTTCTTCATCCGTAAAATGAAGGAGTTGAAATAAATGAAATCTAAGTTTCCTTTCAGCTCTAAAACTTTGATTCCATAACTCTACATGCTTCAAGGAAGAAATAAAAAGAACATAAAAAAGGTAAAAAAGAATCCCAACCCATATAATCATTTTTGAGAGCTGAGAGGCAAGAGAAGGGCTTCTGTTTACTGGAGGACATTTAATAAATGTTAGGCCCTTCCATAGATAAGGGAGGCTTATGCCACTCACTCAGTACTTATGTAACATGCCCTGCCCCCAACCCTGGGAGCCTTCACTATTTCCAGCGTCCAACACATTCTTTGGTAACCAAATCAACAGTTTAAGCACCCATCCAGTGTGTTTGCTTATACAACAAACTAGTTTGACTCACAAAATCATTTGTAAAAGACATTTAATCAAAACAGGCTGCAAAGAAAAATTCAGGATTCTGAAGTAGCCACATACACACCCAAGTGTTTCTTAGTAGGAAACACAAATTCACTCACAAGAAGGTTTTAACACAGGATCTCGGAGCTTTGTTGAGATTCCTATTCCTCTGCTTTTGGCAAAGGAGTTTCATTATCTTCCCCTTCTGCTGAGAGATAGGAATTTCACAGAGGTATCCTTAGGGCTTCCCACGCTACCATATTAACATGCACTACCCGTAGACGTTCAAACCCTTTTTAATGTGAGGGCCAGGGTTCAAATCCCAGTTTGGTTGGAAATTGCTTTGAAAGGGAGGATAGTATAATGGATAGAGTACTAAAGCTGGAGTCAGGAAGATTTGGCTTTGAATCCTGCCTGTAACACTTATGAGGTGTATGATTCTGGTTAAATCACTTCATTTCTCTGTCACTCTCACAGCTCTGCTTCTGACCCTTTAGACTACACCAAGGTCTTGGCTTCCTTCTGACCCTGGAATTTTCCTCAACCCTGTGGTCTTCTCACCCTAGATGATCCCTCCATCCCAAGGCCCCTTCTCTCTCAGTGAGTCCCTCGCAGAATGGGCCCACTCCAGCCATCTTTCATTCCTTTCCCAACTCTGCTTCTGATTCTTCAGACTTTCCCACCTTGTCTAGGTACCTTCCCTTAGCCCTGACTTTTCAGCTCTTTCATGTGTCGTTATCATTATGTATCCCCCATTACAATATAAGCTTCCTGAGAGCAAAAGCTGTCTTTTTTAAGCAGTATTTGTATCCCTGGTACATAGCACAGTATCTGGCACGTAGTAAGTGTTTAATTAGTGTTTGTTGCCTTGATTTGTCTCAATTATCTTATGCATAAAATGAGTGGATTAGATTTGATGACCTTTAAAGTCCTTTCAAATTCTAAATCTATGACATTAGGAAATCTTGTGACCTCAGGAACTGCATCTTCTATGTGTGTACAATGTCAAGACCAAGTTGCCAGAGGTTCCTCATAATCCACTCTGTTTCATAGCATCAGTCCCAAATCACCCCTGTATCACATCTGTAGCATGTTCCAATCAGGTCCCAAAGGCTATCTCTTTTACAGCAAATGGATTGTCCTCCAAAATAGACCATTGGTTTCCATATCGAATCCCATGCCAGTAAAGAAATGACTTCCACTGCTTTACTTAGAAAATTGCTCAAAGTACTGGGGGGATAAGGACTTGTCCAGTGGGGACACATAACCAGTGTGTATCATAGGCAGAACTTGAGTGCAAGTTTTCCTGACTCTGAGAACAGCTCAATAGCCACTACTCTGCCATGTTAACTCTCCTAATTATTATATAGCTAAATCCCTTAGTAGTTAAGGGAAAACAACTATAATGATGATGATAATGGGAATTCTACTCTAGGAGGCTCAGCTCTAACTCTGAAGGAAAGCAGATAATGATCACCATTCCTCCCCTGAGGCCAGAGATGCTCCAGAGAAT